TTGGCAAATCATCTCATTTACCTACTCAAATTAAGGGTAAATACGCTTAATTTAAGACATTTTTACTTATTTCTAGATCGTTTTTCCAGTGATGAGAATGAACCAGCTTCTCTACAGGTCAATGGATGAATCCAGTAATGCAGCACGCTGTGGAACACAGCACCCAGCTCCTCACAAATATCCAGTGGTAGACGAAGTACTCAATTATAGTACTTGAGTAAAAGTAATGATACTCACTCAAATCATACTCAACTACATGTAAAAGTTACTCAGTCAAACATCCATTCAAATGAAAGTATTAAAGTACTCACGTTTTGAGATATTGAAGTATTCGTAAGTATTAATTAAATGTTCTAATATTAGGACAATTCTGTATCATTTTCAAAATAATTTTAAAGAACCTGTAACTTTCAGAAACCACCTGATGTATTGATGCTACAGATTCTACTCCACCTGGAAAGAACTTCAGCATAAAAATGCCACAAAAAATGAAGATCGCTCTTTGAGTATTATTTCTTATTTAAAAAAAAAAAAAAAAAACCACACTGTCTCTAAAGTAGAGGCTAAAGGTTGAATCTATTACCACAAAGAAACTACAACTCTGCTTTAAGACTCGTCCCACTTAACAACTTGGCCACATGGCAACAACTAATGCCTTGATAAAATTATAAACTACAAATATCTGCTCTGAGTTTCTCACATTTGTGGAACATCATGCAAATTTTTAAAACAAGGGTGTCCATATTCAGTCCCAAGGGCTGCTATCTTACAGGATGAAAATGCATTGTCTCCTTGAACCCCAGTGGGCCTCAGCAGATGGCCGCTCACACTGAGCGTGGTTCTGCTGGAGGTTTCTTCCTGTTTTTCCTCTCCACTGTCGCTACAAGCATGCTTAGTGTGAGGGATTGTATTTGAGTCAATGAGTCGATGCAATCTACTAGTTTTCCTTAGATAGAAAACTTTGAATCAGTTTGACTGTGTGGTCTGGTTGAACTGTATAGTGCCTTGAGATGACATGTGATGTGATTTGGCGCTATAGAAATAAACTGAATTGAATTGAAAGAAAAAAGGCAAGAGCAGATTAAAAAGCTAAGCTGAGCCAAAAGGAGCAAGGAAGTGGAGTAGAAAGTACAATATTTGACTTTGAAATGTAGTGGAGTGAAATTTTTAAGTACCCCTCAAAAAGTTAGTCAAAGTAAAGACACTCAAAAAAGAGTACTTAAGTACAGTCATCAAGTAAATGTACTTTATCACTTTCCTCTACTAGAAATATCCCACCGTGTTCTTCCATCAGATCCAAAGAAACTAGCTTTTCTCCAGCTTTTTATTATAATTTTTTTTCATTTCTTTTAATTTTCATTACACTGTAACAAGTAAACAGCAACGAAATAAACTCTGCATTTAACTAGTGTTGCGCCGATGCCATTTTTTGGCCCCGATACTCGATACCTGGCTGTTCAGTATCAGCAGACACCATCCATTTGAAATTGATGTGTGTGTGTATATCTATGAAGAACTGCATACTACTTGGATGTAAAATAATTGCCTTCATCGTTGTCAAGCTGCTGCCTACCTTTGTGAAGCAGGAAAAAGTCTAATTCAAAGCGAATCCAGTGAGAATAGTTGAATAAACTTTTGGCTTTCAAAATGTTATCGGTGCCCTATTTATCGGTACTCACTGATTCCATTTTAGTGCAGTCAGTGTTGCCAACTCAGCGACTTTGTCGCTATATTTAGCGACTTTTCAGACCCCTCCAGCGACTATTTTTCAAAAAAGCGACTAGCGACAAATCTGGTGACTTTTTACGGTGTCACTGGCGGCTTTTGGAGACTCTTACGTGAAAGCATGTATCGTTCCTACTCTGCCGTGGGGCGCCTCCCCCATCCCAACCCCGTTCTCCCGCAGGAGTCCCTCTCAGCGCTGCAGTCAGAGCCGCAGGATGTTTACCCTCAGCGTCCAGACTGCAAATGTAGCGCGCATGTGCCGGGATTGACGGCACAAATTGATCACGCGGTGCCGCTTCGCCCCGACTTACATTCAAGGCGGGAGCGAGCGGGATGTAAATGTAAAATGTTATTTGGTCTTATTAAATAAAGAACATTTGATTCACACAGCCACAGTCAGTCACTTAATCACCTTGTCTATTGTGTTTTCCTCTCTAAGATTAACATTGATCTGCTGGTGAGAATCATTATGTCTCAGTCTAAACTGAACAGTCAAAAATACAGAAAAGAGTTGGAATCAAAGCCTGAAAAAAGTAGCTCTATATATTGTTTAGTAAAGTGAGTAAAAACACTATATAATAGTGTTTTTACTCACTTTTTGTCTTTCTGTAACGACATTATTTCTCCCACAGCATCAATAACATGCACATCACTTCCTGTGGCAGATTACGCAAATTAGGCGATTACGTCATTTAGCGACTTCTAGCGACTTTTAGCACAGCCAATAGCTACTTTCCTTACTGAGGAGTTAGCAACACTGAGTGCAGTATCGGGGCCCCGGCCGATACCAGTATCGGTGCAACGCTACATTTAACCCTTAGGGAGCAGTGAGCTGCCATTGTGCTGCGCCCAGGGGTCTTACTCAGGGACTCAGAGTGGCAGTTTGTGGAAGTGGGGCTTGAACTCAGAACCTCTTGCTTCCAAGCACCTCTAGGCCCACTACCCAGGCTTTAGCTTTAAAGATAACTACAGCTTTAAGTTCTCTGGTGCCTCCAATAATTGTTAACTCTGTACATTTTATCTGCCTTTTAAGATTGTTAAGTCCCGACCAAATATCATCTTAATAATCGCTTCATCTGTGCAGTGAAGGCAAAGCTCCACGGTTCCCCTCTTCCTCTCCATCCATCACAGATTATTAGCAGTAGTGTTTCCTTGCTTCCATGTGTGTTCCATATGTGATCTGTGTGTGTGTGTGTGTGTGTGTGTTTCAGGCTCAAACACTATGCTGAAGGTAAAGAGGCCCTGGAGGCAGAACTGTACTCTCGGTTTGTCCTGGTCCTCAATGAGAAGAAAGCAAAGATCCGCAGTCTGAAAGAAGCCGTCACAACCCTGCAGGAAACAAGGTGCAGAGTTCTCGTTAACCAGCTTCATTCCAACCTCAGCACACTGACAAATCTCGCCATCTTATTTGCAGCAATGGCCAAGGAAAAGAAAATGGACATGTACATGTTTGAGCAAAACTCTGGGCTATCAGATGTTATTTTATCAGATGTTAACTCTAAATCCTTCAGAGTTTTGTATTTTAGCAAGGAAAGTTTTTTTTTTTCTTTTTCAAAAAAACTTTATTTAACCAATGTACATTCCATCAGATCAGGTACCAGTACAGAACTGCATTAATTGCATTCACAGAAATTGCATAAAGCATATCTTAATACAAAAGCAAGGAAAGTGTTTATGCTGCAATTATAACATTCTCACCCAAATATCAGTTATAGTTATACTTTTTTTTTTACTTTATTGAAGCATTTGGTTAAAATTTGTGTTTATTATATTTTCTCAACAATGTATTAAAAAATTTTTTTTATGAAAAAAAGGAATAAATTACCCAGCTCTGATATGTGACTATAAACTGGAGGTAAACACTTTTTATTAAACAGCATAGTTTTGTTGAACAAACTATTTAAAGACTTTTTAAATTGACATAAACTGAATGAATGAAGGCCTCTTTATTAATTCAGCTTTCATCAGAGAGAAATTGAACAATCATGCACATAAGCAGACAGTCATGTGGATTGAGAAAATGTATCAAAAATGATCACATTTATTCAATCAGTGGTTGATTAATGTGACATTTATCTCCTTTAGAGATTCTGATGGACGGAAGAACAAGGATTCTCCAAAGTCTGATCAAAAAGGGGGTGATGACGGTGAGGATGATGAGTATGGAGGTAGCACCGACGAAGAGCAAAAGGAAGAGGAGTCAACAGTAGCATCTCAGGTGACATCGAGAGGTAGGATGAATTATACTAAATTGCCTTTAATGATGCACACCATAATTAGTTCATTGGGTTTTATTTTTTTGTCACCTAATCTGCTGTTTCAATTCAATTCAGTTTATTTCTATAGCACCAATTCACAACACATGTCATCTCAAGGCACTTTGCAGTTCAACCAGATCATCCTGTCAAATTGTTTTCTATCTAAGGAAAACCAGTTGATTCCATCGACTCACTGACTCGAAGGCAATCCCTCACACTAAGCATGCTTGTAGCGACAGTGGAGAGGAAAAACTCCCTTTTAACAGGA